AGGAAAACAACGGCGCTACGAGATTCAAGACGCAGACCCAGAACCCGATCCTCAAACAGGCGACCTACCTGCTCCTTATCGCGCTAGCGTTGCCCATCTCGTGCCTATCCCCAAAGACAACGAAGGACTAGGGGATCTGGCCAAGGGAAGAGGTGTGCTAGCTCAGTATCCGGTATGTCTGCCCTTCTGCCAAGACTCTAATCCCCATCTGCCCGAACAAGCACAGTTGGAGAAGGTATAAAACGCGAATAGGTGACTAACATAGCAATCCCAGGACACCACAACCTTCTACAAAGCCGAAGTATCCCAGCCCTGGCGCGCAAAAGAAATGTCCACAATCGAAAAGGGTGAATACGTGCGCCTCCGCTTCGAGGGCGAAACGGACGAGATGATTTCGCAAGAAGTGGAGAGGCGCTTCGTTTTGGTTGATAAATAGATCGTATCAACCCTTACTCGCGAGGTTCTGACTGCACGACGGCCAACCCTCGTACAGAGAATGAGAGAGAAAAAGGCGAGGATGACGGGGCACTCAGTCAGAGGGGAAGTCTTTCTGGGCAGAGGTGCATCATGAAGGGTGGGCCCGATGATGAATTGACAACCTCCTTGAAAATGGCAAGGCAGGGCATCATGCCGAGATGTCTGCCCGGCATGGCCCCCTGGCAGAGAAGATCATGGCAGAGTCAGCTCAGAGTCTCTGAAGCATGACAGTGAAAGCTACCAATACAGTTTTCCTCCACTTTGGGGCGTGTAGCGTGCAATTTCTGCGCGCACATCTTGCGTCAACAGCCGCATATTGATAAAGCCATGATACAAACTACTTTTCCAATTTCGCATGTTCAACACATAGAAGATACCATGCACATGGAAAAAGACAGACAACAGCTGTAAAACGCAAAGTCTTGTAGACGTGTCTCTAACCTAGATGTGCGAAGCTGGCAGGTAAACAGCACGACGTTCATCTGCTTCGAGAGGCGGAGGCGCCTCATTTCCATCATCCTATTTTTTTTGCGTGCCTGTCTGCCCTTACCACCACCACTCTTGCCTTTTTCGTATAATTACAAGTTACTTGGGTATAGAGAAAAAGAAAAGACATACAAATGAAACGACGCAAAAGAAAACAGGGTTTCGAGAGAAAAACACCAAAAGAACACAATCTCAGAAGCCTGACGATTACTATCGAGCTTTGCCAATACTCTTTCCTGAACATAGTTGGGCTGAAACGAGGTTGCCGAGATATCGTTCTGAGGTGTTTGTAGGGTATAAAAAAAAAGGACGAGGTGGGTATGTTGTTGTTTGCCGAGCTCGCAGAGCCGATTATGGTAACCTTTCGATATGCCACCAGCCAAAGGCTTGCAGATATGGGGAGACTGGGAGGCAGAGCGCGATGGGGTCTTTGATGGAGAGTTTTCGGGCGCCTTGTGAATTGCTGGCGGGCAATTTTCCCTCCTCATTTCGCGGGTACCTTGACGTGGCTGCTCAACCATGCCAGGCCTTCAAAGATGCCCTCGCCGGTGGTTGCGCAGCTGGGCTCGACTTTCCAGATGTGGTTTTTGGCGATAACATTAAGGTTCAGGGCATCGGAGACATCCTTAGGACGCATTGCTAAAAGTCACATGTCAGCCACATATTCCCAAGTGGATGCTCGACCAAGCTCTTTTTCTCTCCTCCATGCCCACTCAGCTTGCTCGACGCTCGGTTCCGCGCAACAACTCACCTCCGTTGACATCCTGCTTATTAGCAAAAACAAGCAACAGCGCATCCTTCATTTCGCGATCTTGAATAATCCTCGTCAATTCCGTCCTAGCCTCCTCCATGCGATCCTTGTCATTGCTATCAATGACGAAGATTAGCCCTTGGGTGCCAGAGAAGTAGTGACGCCAGAGTGGGCGAATCTTGTCTTGTCCACCAACATCCCAGACATTGAATTTCGTGTTTTTGTAGGTCACGGTCTCGACGTTGAAGCCGACGGTGGGAATGGTTGTCACGTCTTGGTCAAGTTTGAGTTTGTAGAGGATTGCTGGAAGTAGAAGAATTCAGGTCAGTGAACCGAGGTTACCGCGATCATGTCTACGAGAGAGTGGGTACTGGAATGAAAGGGCTGGACCAGGATAGAATAGATGGTATAGGCGGTCTAAGTCATGTAGGTGGAGATAGAGGTGACTTACTCGTCTTTCCTGCTGCATCAAGTCCCAACATCAACAATCGCATCTCCTTAGATCCAAAGATCTTGGCCATCATCTTCGATATTGAGCCACCCATGTTGATAGTATGCTTCTTCTAAGTTGTGTCGCTGGTAGTTCGCAGTGGTGACAGGCAGCAATGGCAATGCCAGTACTTTGCGCAGGAAGAGAGCAGATCACGCGCAGAAGTATACGGGGAGTGGATACGTCTGGAGTGGCTGAATTGACTCAGTGTGCGCGCGCTTGTGATTGATTATGCACGCGCTGGGGTCGGAAAGTCGAGTTTGAGATATAAACGGTAGTGCCTGGGACCGTTGCTGCAGGACGTTGGAGCGAGTGAGAAACGTGCTCGCCTCGCGAGGAAAGGGTCAAAGTCTCAAAGTAAGGGTCCAAGAGCGCGGTACAAATGTTATTAGGCCAGGGGAAAGTTGGTCCTGCTAAGTTGGTTTTCGTGGAGAAAGTGCGAGCTGCGGCGCGTGCACTTCCTTAAAGATGGTCCTGATCGTCACTTCGTATTGTAGTCAATTCAATGAAAGCCTGTCAATAAGCTTATCCTATTCGTTGCCTGACGGTTGAGGAGACACCGCTGCTATAAGACGACGACTGTGATTCAGGGGAGACGAGACACTTCAGCATAAAAGTACCGCCCCTTACAACCGCATTCATCCATGTCACCTTCGCTTCGAGCCTAAGACAGTGTAATCTCCGTTGCTGGTGATAATCCCGAACATGGTCCCTGCGCCGGCTCACCCCGAGGGCCTCTACCGACCATTTTTGGCTCTGCACATGTCATTGTCATTGTCAAATATAAAATAAGCTTGCGGTCGTTTCAACGCCTTCATGTTGAGGAGGGTGTTCAGTAGGCATGTGTCGGCTCTCGCGAGCAGGAGCAGTAAGGAGGCTTTGTGATGCCTGTCTCGATACTCCATCTCTATACAGTATCTATCTCGGGGTATCAAATCCGATCTACGCAAGAATGTATAAACTCCACATAATGCATGAGCGGTAAGAGAACCATGGGTCTGCCTCATCTATCATTTCCCAACGGACTCCGAAATCTTGAGATCCATCTTGAAAGAATGGCCCATCAATCGAGCATCCTCATAACGCCTTCGAATGCGACGAGTGCCATTGCGTTAGCAGGGAACGCGCGCAAGAAGCACGGTACAAAACCTCTCCAGTAACCCTTCCATCCTCTCTCTTGCCCCACCGCCCAGGCCGCGTCTCTCCAGCGTGGGAACTTCCTCTTCGGTCCCAATTCATCAGTCATGATACGCTGCTTGATGACATCCGACGGATAGCTCGTGATCCAGAACATCTGTGCAGATAAACCACCAGCCCAAAAGTTGATCGCTGGTGTGGAAAGAGATGTATGCTCGCTGAGAGCGCGCGTAAACAGATCATAAGAGCCCCACCAGAAGAAGAAGAAGGAGCGGAAAATCAGGGTAGCTCCTAGACCGTGGTACATTCCTCGGATACCATGCTGACTGTATATCTTTTTCGTACAATCGATTGGTCCTGAATAAAGCCGCTTTGACCTGTCCGCAGAGTACTGTATCTGCAGGCGGGCCTTGATATGCTCCACAGGAGCTGCAATGAATGAGACTGTACTGCCAGCCATCACACCGGCTAGGGCGTGTCCAACAGGTGGTAATTTTTGATCAGAAGGCGGTATACCAAATGCATTTGCTGCTGCTCTTGCTCTGTACATGGGCTGAAAAACGTTGTCGTTAAGTATCCGGCGATACATTGTCAGACTTCCCAGCATTATACTGTCCATGAACATCCATCCTACTAGTGGTGGAGTGGCGCCTTTGTATAGTCCTTGAAACCCCTCTTTTCGTAGTGTTTGCATCAGGCAGTCTAATGGTCCTTTGAACTGAGTCATCTCGGACGTTTGCAATCGGACTTTGATCGTATCGAATGGGTGACCAACTGCATGATTGATCAGTAGCTTTTACAAAACAAGTTGATGGACGAAAAGACTCACCACTCAGCTTTGCGATACCACTGAACACACCAGCAACGAAGCCCTTGTAAGCGCCCGATGACCCACGCTTCTGTTCATTTTGTCCATTTTGCTGGGCCATTGGCAGGGGAACAGCCTTTACCGCCTCTGACATTGGATCCGGTGATGATTGGCAGTAGATATCGACTCAAACATGCCTGTTATAAGCTGGATGAATGTGTGTCAAAACACAACTTGAAGTGGTCGAATTGCGCTCGTACTGTTAGCTCACTTGATCAACTTGAGGAATTTCAGAGGGTCATCAATCGGACTTTCCGGGGTTTGGACGTTATAGTACATGACGTCGCTGATCTTCCGTCAAGATCGCTACCGTACTCGTAGCTTATTTATCATTTCTCAACCCCGGACAAGTTTGACATTACCTAATTTCTTCTACCATTAACCAAACTGATGGAGCGAACAGTCTATGAGGACTTTCCAGTAAAGATGCCTACACATATTGGAGGAAAGAAACATAACTACACTGTAAGCATAGTATACCTGCTTTGTTCCTCCTCTTAATTGAGTCTACTCACTGGTCCAGAAGTAAGAGCCTCGTATGTTTCAAGAAAGGGACATTGAGCACTTCAAGCAGATCCCTTACAAGATGCATTCTCTTAAGTTTGCCCTTTATGTACAAGCCTCGCCATTTCTTCTACCAGGATCCACGTTGCCAGACGTTACCGCGTTGTACCTTTGGCCTGTTTCTCCCTCCGTCTAAGCCTATGGCTAATTGCAAAAATCACCAGCCACCAGCATTCACCACACTCATTCATCGGACTTATAAGCAGAGACAGCAAAAAACAAAACCGTGATGAGAGTGGGATTCGAACCCACGCAGATTGCTCTACTAGCAGGTAGTAGATCTCAAAGATCTCCTGAAGCTAGCGCCTTAGACCGCTCGGCCATCTCACCAAATTGATGCAAAATGATGTTGTTGCTGACGTACTTGATGGCAGTTGGTCAGAGGCTTGGTTTACAATGAACAACAGTTCGCCCTCTGGACTTCTTGGTCAAGTGAAGTGAGAAACAACATCGATATTTTTATCGATATTCATCAGTTTATTGACAGTTTCATCTACAAGTCGACTCGACAAGTTGGACTATCCAACTCCCGTCGATTTTAGTCAAGGGAAAGGGTACCGCCCGACTGTCCTAGTGACGCTGTCGCTATAGTCATACTAGCGTCGTTCCTAAAAGGACAGAGCGCTGCTATAGCAGCGTAGAGAAGAGCTAGGAACACTAGACAGAGCGGAAGGCTGATTTAGCCTATCCGTTCCCTTAATCTAAGTGACAATGCTGTCTTTGCAGAAGACATGCTGAAGCGTTTTATTGAAAGAGCAGTGAACGCCTAGAACAACAAGCTCAATAAGCTGCTTAAGCAACTCTAAGAGCAGAACGAACTATTCTATATATAGAATAAACAGCTCTAGGACTAGAATAGATTATTCTAGACTTAGAATAAGCAACTCTATTAAAAGAACGCTATAATAATAGCAATACTTAACATTATTATAAGGAAAAATAAGAAGCTTAAAAAGAAGCTTAATAGTATAAATGTAGATATTAAAAATATTAATGCTAATATTAAAGCTCTAAATACTAAGATTTAATTTATTGAGTCTAATATTAATAAAGGAAAGATAGTCCTCTCAACTTTTAAATAAGCAAGCTTAATATCCCTAGCTGATTCTAATATAGCAGCCTTTCTATTAATATTCTATACTTTAATAATATTAGGCTTAATTAACCTATTATTATTAGCTATATAGCCTCAATATAGCAATATTATAATAATAATATTATTTATTTTTTATAAAAAACTACGCTAACTTCTAAGCGTTATTATAAATCTAAACTGAATAATAGCTAAATAGCGCTAAATAATAAATAACTATAAAGCAACTAGGGACAAAATTTAGGAAGCTATTATAGCTTAATAATCTATAAATAACATTATTATTAAAAGAATCTAATTTAAAGCAAGGGATATAAGGATAATTATTTAGAATAAAAAAGATATAGCACAACTGCAGATAAATGAAGCATAAGTCTATTAAGTATTTAAGATAGCCCAAATCCGGAAAGAGGAACTCTTCCTAATTAAGGTTAATAATATATATAGAATAGCAGTCCTAATACTAGGCTTTTGTAAAATCAAACCAGAATTAGTAATTAAATTTAGTATAGAAAATAGGTTTAATAGAGCCATTAAGGCATTCTAGCTTTTTAAAAGGGAGAAACCTACAGGATCTATAGTAATGTACCTCAATATAGTAAAGGACGCCTAGAGAGCATTTAAAGAACGCATAGTCTAAGTTAATAGCAGTATAGCTATAGTTAGCTAATACTATAAGATCTAATGCCTTTAGAGATACTATAACTGTAATAAATATAGCTATTATTAGGCTAGATGTAGCTAAACTTTAAAATATAGAAAATGCGTAAATAATTATAGAATTAATAACTATATAGCTATAGTGCTAAAGTATATAGTATATAGGGAACTATATATAGCTATAGACTCTAGATACGTAGTATATTAAAATGAGATTAGTAGAATCTAAGGCGGAAACAAACTCTCTAACTAGCCTATTAAAATAAGGAAAGAGAACTGGCAAACAGTTATAAGCTAATATACTAAATAGGAAATCACTATAAGCAATATATAATAAGGGATACCTGCTTCCTTCTAATAAATATAAATAGACAATTTCTAGTCTAGCTCAGCCTTATCAATAACTAGTCTATTAGCTAGTTTATAGTAATTATAGTTATAGAACTAAGTATTACTAGCATTAAAAGTAAATTATATATTTTATAATACTAGTGCTAGGTTACTATAATACTATCTATATACTAAAAGGAATTAATATACTACGCGTTCTAATTAGCATTTTACATTTATAAAGATATTTCATTTATCTAGATTCTTATAATGTTGTCCAATATAACAATAGAGGTTATTACTATATTAATAAAACATATTTTTATAATATTAATCTATATTCTAAGCTGTAATAGATATATACTTTCTAAGCAAGACTTAGAAGAAACAGCTACTACTAAGCTTAATGCCTTAAGTAAAGCAATCTAGAAAGCAAAAGCTAAATATAGAGAAAACCTTTATATTATAACTAAAAGCAATTTCAATTATTATAACCTAATATAGAAAGGAATTAATATACTATAGTTACAATATAAAGGAGAAGGCAAATTAGTGCTTTAATAGATATAATAGTATAATACTTTTTTAGCTTTATTAAGCAGCATAATCACATTTCTATAAAGACAATTTAAAACTACTATTAATTTTATGCTAATGTCTAATTTAATAGAAGACTAGGTTATAAAGTGTAATATCCACTTAATCTAATATAGGTTAGACTATAAAGCTATAACATTTTAAATTAATAAAGCTAAAATAATAGCTTTGCAAAGAGCTAAATATAACTTTAAGAAAACAAACTAGGATATAGCTATTAAGACACTTAAGGGATAGAGACTGTTAATTATTAATATTAATAATATTATTAAGCTTAATTAAGTAGTTATAGAAATCTAGGACACTGTGAGCCAATATATTTATAACTACAGCCTTATAGTTAAGGAATCATTATATATAAAAGCATAATAGGATAACGAACTTATAGAGCTATATAATAAATATACATAATGCCTAAATTAGAGTAACGCGCTACAAACTATAGAACTAGATAGCAAAGAAAGCTGCTATAAAGCTAGGTAAGCTAAATACTGGTTTTATAAAAGCATCTATAATAAAAAAATAACTATACTGAAACAAATTCCTAGCATAGATAGATAACATCTGGAAAGCAGCCTAATATCTTAACTTCTAATTATTAGCGTTTAGCAATATCCCTATTATAGTTACTAATATTGAAAATTAGAAAATGGAGCTTAAAGGAGACAAGGCTAAAGCAAATAAACTACTCTAATGCTTTTTCCTATTAATTCCTAAAGGGTGGAAAGAGAACGCGCTGAACCTTAATACTAAATATATAAAAAACTTAGATATCTTTATTAAAAAAGTAATTAGGGTAATAGCTAAAATTAGCTTATATAAAGCATTAAATATAAACAGTATTTTAAATATTGTATAAAAACGCTTATAAACTATTCTAAATAATTAAGTTATTAATATTTTTAATACGTTATATTAATTAGAATATATACTAACTATATAGAAAATAGCATAAATCTTACTATTATAAAAATTAGGAAAACTGGATTACTAAATAGTAAAAGCATATTACCTTATCTTTTTTTTAGCTACTTTAAGCAAACTAATAGAACTTATATTAGTAAAAAGAATATTATATTAGGCTAAGACGTTTAATCTCCTTCTAAAAATACAATTTAGCGCTAAGCTAAAATGCTTATATAATTAAGCGCTACTTTTCTTAATAAAGAAAATCTTTAAAGCATAATAGTAAAAGAAAATCCTTTTTTTTATTAATTTTGATATAAAAGGAGCGTATAATAGCATTTCTTAATAGGTGCTTATAAGTTAGCTACATATAAAGGGGATCCTAACCTGCGTAATAGTATAGGTTAACTCCTTCTATATAAATTAACTAGCAATAGTATTAGTTAATAATATAGAATTAAGTAAAATCATATTTACAAAATCCGGCCTTCTATAAGGATTAACGCTAGCCCTTATTCTATATATCTTCTTTAATGTATTTCTAATAAAGGAAAAGATTAATAGGAAATAAAGCAATATAGGGTTTATAAATAACTATATCTAATAGGCTATTTCAGAATTAGTAAAGAGAAATATATTAATATTTAATAATAAAGTTGTCTTAAAGGCCCTCTAATAAGTAAAAAACAGTAGCGCTACGTTTAAAAGCAATAAAATAATCCTTATATATTTTATATAAAACTGTAGAAAGATTAGTAACTCTAATCCCTTATTAAGAATAAGAGATTACGTTATTAAACCTTCTATAAGAGAAAGAATCTTAGAAGTTATTTTTAACATTAAGCTAAGGTTTAAAAACCATTTAGCTAAAGTTAAAATAAAAGGGTAGAGAAATGCTAGCTAACTTAAACGCTTCTTCTATATTAGCTTATAATTAGCAAAATAGCTATACTAAGCTATAATGGCTTTTAAAATAGACTATGTAGTTATAATATAGTATACTAAGTCCCTAAAAGGAAAGACTAATAATAGCGCAGTAAAGATTCTTAATTCTATATAAAGAATAAGGGCTTAAGCAGTTGTTAAATACTTCTATATAAACTCAGTAGAGGCATCTAGCGCTAAAGCCTTACTTCATTTTCTATATGTCTAGCTAAAACTGAAAATTAGCAAATTCTAAATAGGACTCTATACACTATTAGAAACTAATTTATTAAAGAGACAGCTTAGAAAACTAGCTAAAAAATCTAAAGCAAAGTTATTTACTTCCCCCTTTTATAATATAGAAACACAGTTAGGAAAGACAGGGATTAGAATGGAAATTATCCTAGCGTAAATAGCTCTATTATAGAAAGTGACTATAGTTAATAGCGAATCTAATTAATATAACTTAGATAAAGTATATAGAAAGTATATTAAAATAAAAGACTAGCATATAAATATCTTTGCTAATAGCTTAGTGACTAACAGCTAAGTAGGAGTTAAAGTAGCAGTATACTCTAAAAAGTCAATACTACTGTCTATCTATTCTTAAAGAATCAAGTCCAGAGGCAGTATTAATAATATAATAATAGAGCTAGTAGCTATTAAATAAGCAGTAACCCTAGTAGGTATTATATTAGAAATATTAAAAAACTAGGGGAAGCTAATCCCCTAAATAGTAATATAGTCAGATAGTTAAAAAGCTATTTATATAATTAATTATTAAATAAGCTAAAGCAGAGTAGCTACAATATAAAATATA